CAGGGGTTAATTTTCACCTTCTGGATTCTCTTGCTGAGAAAAACCGTTTACTGGGGTCTTGCCCAAGAAACTGCCACCTGCTAGCGACAATGCTAGAACCTCTGGCAATTTTGGAAAGAAAATAATTTTAAATTTACATACATTTAGATTTACCACACAGGAGTAAAGTTGGCCTCCTACCCCAGAACATCCAAATCAAAAAGGTTAAGTAAAAGAGAAACACAACCAAAAACCTCTATTCCATTACTATTCATGACAAAATCAGGGATCAGTAATCTTAAAACAAGAACACAAGAACAAACACGAGCTCCCATTGTTCTCTTCTCTTCCTTTTGGAGCTTATGCATGAGCATCAAAACCACTTTAACACCTGCCAGCCCAGTGGTATCCACCCTTGTTCAGACATTCTAGATTATTTGCTAATGGACGTAAAACAGAAGAAAGTTCTGAAAGCAAATTCCTCATCAGTTTATAAGCTATTTTCAAATAAAATACCTCACTTTTGATAATGCTTTCCTTTTCCACGTATGCAAGTTTAACCATACTCATTTCAGAAGAGCCACTACTTAAAAATTTTACTTCTATCTACATATTCAGACACCTGCTTCTCCAAGCATGCTTTCACATTGAAACATATAAAAGATATATAAGAAATAGGTAATATCCCCCAAGAAAGTTATCTTGAGAAATCTGCTCCGAACAGAACTTTAAATAAATTGACTTCTACTGCAAGCACTGTCCCCAAATAAATCGACTGCATCCTACAATCAAGTGCACTCAAGGCTGGAATGTCAAGTCAGTCATATATTACTTCAACCTCACTAAATCTCTCCTTATTCTCCAAATCCTAGGCTGCTTTCTAAAATAGTTCACTAAAAAGCACCAACCTAATTAACAACTGCTTCCTCTGCAACAGTGGCCTTGATTTCACTTATTTACACATTAACTGCAGCCTCCTTTTGGCCAAGCCAGTCTATTCTCTGTACCATGCCGAGCCTTTTATCTGCCCTGGACAGCATTTTCTCCAGCAGATGAAGTAGATGCCGATTGATTTGCTGTCGAGCATGGTAAATTAATAGCAACAAATTGCTGAGGGCCCGTCTCGCTGCTCCACCATGCTTCGGCAGTTTTGCTTTATTTGCTCCATGATGGGCAGGAGTCGGCCTCTTCAAGTCAATTTCTTCTTAACAACCTGCAATCCTTTTCAATGGTGAAAATAGAGCTGTTCCTTGTAAGTCAGAAATCAATATCCTATTGCCCTTAGAAAATGCTAAACAAGCAGTATTGGCAATCCACTTGGTACTAGAGGGTATCAGATATAATGCAAATCCATACTGCTTCCCTCCTTGTAGTTATTACAGTTTGCTAAAAGGTTCCTAATGTCATTTATCATCATTTACCATTGACCAAAGAGGCTATGATTATGATATCCTATCAGTTGGCAAGGCCTTTCGTTTCTATTCAATTAATATTTTAGCAGCACTCAAATGGTTGTGGCCCAGTCTTGTAATGAAATTTGCATGGCTTGGGAGGAAATAAGAATTTTGTTGCTTTAAGGGGGAAAAAAAAAATTACACACAAGAATATGCAAACACGACAAACACTTTATAAAATTCTTCACGTTTCACTTTTAGATTTTAGGTGTCAGATTCCAAAGATTTTCTGATGATTCTTAAAATTCAAGCACTAAGCAAATAAATTTTAGAAGAGATCTTCAAATTATAAAGCACTGAGGAAATTGTGATTCTCAGCCCCTCCCCCCTTCCACATCACAGCACGTTCACCTATTTCATTTCTACAGGTTGAATTCACACATCGATGGCTCCTAATCTACATCCAATATCCACATTTCAGAGTGGCAACAGCCAGAGTCTGATTCCATTAGAGAGAAATTCTTCAATTATAGTGTTGCAGGCGAAGGATTTGAACAAGCAGCATCTAATGGTGGTATCAAGTGTACACACCATCCTATCAGCCCAGGGTCACAGACCCAACCAAAGCCATACTATATATAAAGAGGGATCAGAAGAAACTAACAAAAGAACACTGGTCCAACTATCCCGTCTAAAGCAAAAAACAAAACCCTGCAAACGGAAATTCTTGAAAAGTCAACGTTCTTTCAGTTTTTAAAAAACTCTATTTTGAAGACATCACAATGAATTCCATGCCATTTCTAACCAGGTCCTAATTATCAACCCCATTTTCACATGAAAACTGAAGACAATGAAAAAGTATTAATTCCCACTGTGGCCTAGAACACTCCACTTGAACTTGAACTTCTCTGTTTTTTTTTTCCAGCTTCATCTGTTCAGCTCTATCAATTCTCCTAAAAACTTCCAAAAATTACATTCATATTTTATGCTTCAATTCCATGTCATGTCACTGAGTACCCCCCACAAAAAAAGAACGAAAAAAAATCCCACTAATTTTGCCAGACTAATGCTATTTACTCAGTTACCAAAATTTAAATTAATTATGTTCTCTAACATAATTGTTAAAAATTGGCAACATTACGCAGGCTTAATTAAGATTAAATCCAATTTACTAAATGTACTTTAATTGGTACTAATTACATTAGCTTTCATTTCAGAATGACAAATTCCCCATAGGTTTCATTTTATGGTTCTCCATCAGACTCAACCCAGGGCAACTGATGATGAGCATCAGCAAACAGGAGGGGGAGGACTGGGACCCTCCCTGTTTACCACTGCTTCATACTAGCATCCTCTGATCCATTTGCTAAGTCACAGATTCGTAGACCATTCAAAACCTTCATTTTCAGTCCCAGTTAAAAATTTCCCTAAAAATACTCTGTGGCTAGCTGCAGCCAAGACGAATAGGAACACAGGAATATTAACAACAACAACAAAAGATATGCACAAGGGTTTCAAATATCAGGGCCACCAATTACTAGGGAACTTCTGAGGCCTCCTGGGACTCCTACTCTTGAACCCTTGAGACACAAATCTAATAAGTGAATAAGCCTAAACCGGTCTTGAGAAATAGGCCCAATTATGCCTCAGGGCAACTTCCTTGTATTATTGCTGCTTTCCATTACAAGGGTATCCAGCGGGTGCATCTGGAAAAGAGGCTAAGAGAAACTACGGCTGTCTGCCCAGGAAAACAAATAAAGACAGATATGCCTCTGTGCTTAAGGGGGAAAAAGAAAGAAAATATAATAAGTAGGTGGTTTGCAGGGCTGTCTGTATTTCATAATGTGATAAACTGCCCTCGGGATTCTTGATATGATTGAATTCAAAAGCAAGAAGAAAAAAAAAGCAAAGTGTACTCTTCTCAATTTTAAATGGACAGCATTTGAGGCCAGCTGGACAAGATGACAAAATTTAGTCATATAAAATGTGTAAAATTAAGGGATCTCATATTACCCCCCAAAATCAAAATAAGAAACACATATAGCTATGTGACCTAGGTACAGAATAGCACAAGGAGATCCAGATACTAAATGGTCAGGGTAAGGCAAAGTATAGAAAAGGGAGAAATAAAGGGGCATTCATCTAGTTCATTCTTTAAAGAGAAACTAATTTTGGGAGTGCTCATAAAAACCATCAACAAACAAACAAATAAATAAGTACGCATAAGATCCAAATTATGTAAGCAGGTAATTGTATTCCTGTGAGGTAGAGCTAAAGAGAATACACCCATAAGCCGGATACATTTTGCTGAAGCAGTATTTATATCACTAACATAAACGGCAAAGATCCTAAAATATAAATGTAAATATGCACCATTCAAACTACACCATGTATATATTAGTATACAGCATATGTAATACGCTAACATTAGCATAATCAAATAGCATACAGAGTAAGACAGAACTTTAAAATGTCTTCAATGCAAATAATGTAATTTTTCGCAACTTTTATTTCCAAACACCATCTGATTGCCTTACTGTCTAAGAGCCAGCCGTCTTTTAAAGGAACTACTGATGAGAGCGCATTCTGGCCATGTGGTAAACAACCATCAAGAAGAGTTCTTACAGCTGACGACAGGCAGCCATGTCACACGTTTTAATCTTAGAGGACACGTACAACACCCTGACCACAAATAAATACGACATGGAAAGCAGAAAGTTGTCTGTCGCCTCTTTCTCAGCAGGCAGATATGCATTATCTATTCGGAAATGGTTGAGGAGAGTCCTCAAGTCCTTCATGAGGAGATGACTTCAGAGAAATGCTTCCTGGAGGAATTATCATTGCCAAACAGTATCATACATATACTATCTTTGCCATTTAGGGAACTTAAGCCAAATCATTTCATTTGGGCTCTTGTTTAAAAAAAAAAAAAAAATCAAAACCAAGCCCTATAGCAGCTGTAGTAGTCACATACCCCCATATACCCATGAGCGCTTGCTCCCCTGCAACCCCAAACTAATTACTAGATTTTAAGACCCAGGGTTAAAGAGTAATCACATCCTCCTATCAGGTTCATTTACTCTGTACAAATTTTGGAAGTTAAAGCTAGAGTTCCAGGTAAGACCCAACTAAGTAGCCTCTGGGGACTAGTACAAGGATTTTACATCAATTTCTTTTATAGCTCTGCAGATTTCATTCTGATCCTCCCAGCTCACTCATTCTCTACTCTCATAGTGATCCAATGAAGACTTCACACAATTTACAATTTTATTTATTAATATTTCCCGAACAGTTCTTTCATAAGATAGAATTTTGATGGCTGAAATATATATGGCAACTGTTTTAAAAAAGAAAATATGTATTTCAAATTTTGCATATGGCTTTTGAAAGAGAAGAAAAGTTTAATATACATTCTGATTTAAAAATAATACTTTAAGTAATTAAAAGTCAGGATAATATGGGACATGAGGAACCACATGCAAAAAACTAACCTCACTCATTCCCAGTCTTTTCAAATAAAGATAGAAATGACAAATGTAGCAAAGAAAAACCACCAATAGACAAATGTCTTTTCTAAGTGCGGCAGTCTTAACTGTCATTTAAGATGATTATAAAGAATGAACTTACCTGCTTGTGCATTTCGATGTTCAGCCCATAGGACATTTCATAATACTGCCAAAGAAAGAAAAGCAATTAAATGTGTACCTTTCCAATAATCTCTCCAGTTTGTTCAAAATGACCAAGTACACGGAAAACAAAGCAACCAACACAAAGGCCTTACCTTAACCAAAATATCCACAATATCTGGGTCAATAAATAAAAAAGGATGCCGAATCACTATCTTCAAGAAACTAGAAGTCATCTTAAGACATATCCCAAGAGAAAAAAACTCAGAAAACTAAGAAAATGTTAAAACTCAGCATTGTTAACCTCTCTAATTGTTTCAACATCACAAGCAAATGAGTTGAAGAAGTCTGATAAAAATTTGATTTCACATGACTCTTGATTTCTAAGCAGAGCGGAAATATTTCACACAAATGCTGATTGATGCTGTGAAGATCTGTAGGAAAAGGAGATGCTCCTCAGAGTTCAGTTTTTGGTTTCAGAGTACTACTCACACATGCAAAGCAGCAGAGCGTAATAGAAAATTAATTGATGAGTTACTCTGTAAGTTCTTGCAACACAAAATATACTTCTGAATCATAAAAATGCTTCATAATACTTCTGTAAACATAGATTTGATTTGTCTGAATGGAAGTATAACTACAGTACAGAAAATCTGGCAGCTAAATCAACACTCCTAAGAACCAAAATAACACCATTGAAATTGAAAGCATGCACACAAAAATATAAACAAAGTAGCATGATGAATGGGGAAATTTCTCAAAAGGGATCTGGTGTCTTTTCCTATCCAAATCAATAATTAAAAGGCATAAAACACATTTAAGAGTATATAGAAAAACTGTCTGGTTACAATTGGAGCAAGAGCAATAAAACAACAAAGAAAACCACTAACAAAAACATTTTGCTTGTGACTAAACAAAAAATAAATGAGGGGTTTTTTTCTCCCATTTTTTTTTCAATCTGTAAAAACAAAGCAAAGAAAATTATACCCCATGCAACTGAACTTTTTGAAAATTTAAATCAAAGCTGGTTGTCAAAGCCAAGTTATAACAACCTAGAATTACAGGTTGCTAATGGACACATACCCACAATCTCAACACTAGTAGGGCCACTGTGATGTATCCTGCAGCCTCCAGCAATTTAAAATGTATTCTTGCTTTCAGTATCCCCGGCTAATGAGCACTTTGAATCTGTGACACAGTTTTCTTACCATGACATAATGCCGCTGCATCTCTGTCTTCTCACTGGCGAGTTTCTCACATTCCAGCTTCAGACTATGCAAGACATAAAATCATCTAAGTACAGTGTAGAACTTAACTTAATCCTTCAACTCCAAACCCACATCCCTTCCTCTAATTCATCAGCTCCTATTGTCAGACCAATGATATTAAACAGCACTTTAGTAATGAAAGGGAAGAGAGAGAAATGAGCGACAAGAACCAGCCTGGTCTTGCCTTTTCAATAAGGATAAACTGTGGGGGTTGGGAAAGAGGGCTTTATGTCTGAAAGAAATAAACACTCTAGCCAATTTAATTCTGAAACTTCATCCAGAATTGAAGAATATTCACTAAATTCACTTACTAAAACAAGAATTTAAACATCGATAATTACATACAAAAGCAAAAACTAAGTCCACGAAAATGCCACCTTTACTATTCTAAGAGATTAATGAAACTCGGAATCAAAACAGTCTCTTGAATGATGTCTTCCCCCCCCCCAAAAAAATAATAATACAGATTAGTCGTATAACATGGGGGAAGGGGGATGCTGATCTGATCCAGCAGCTTGTTTGGGTTCCTGCATTTATGCAGTAAGAATTCTGCACCATTACTGATCCAATGAAACAAACATGTTCCTAAAGCACTTCAAGACTGAGAGCCTCGCAGACTAAAGTATTGTTGTCGTTTTAAATAAAAGTAATGAAATGGCTCACTGTTTACTTCCCCTGGCTCTCCAGCTATGCCATGGAATGGCAGAAGGAAGGGATCAAGCACAGAGTAAAAAGGAACCAAGAAGTCAAAAGGCCCCAGAATCTTCCCAACCTTCCATTCTCCTGACCCAATAAATCAATATCGAAAGTTTGGCCTCAGCGTTTTCCAAGTCTCCTCTGTTTCGATTGTTCTGCTTCCTTTTCTGTTTACAGGAGAAGGAAATGCTTCATTTCTTTACACCTGCTTGAAGGGAAAAGAGGCCCTGACTTGCCTTTTCTGCCCACAGGGGGAAAAAACAAATGGTAATACCTTTGTGGTGGTGGGGGGGGAGGGGGAGACGAAGGGGGTGGTGTTTGTGTGTTGGGGGGGTAGACAAGAGCTAAGCAAACAGGAGGATCAGCTAAAGTCAATATCGTTACCTGTGATATTGAGCCTGTAAAAACTGAAACTCTTCCTTAATCCGATCACAGGATTCGGAAATTGTAAATTTGAAGGGTTGAGCAGGCTGATGCGGTGCCTAAAGAACAACAATAAAATATTTAATTAGCCCACATCGCAGGTGGGGGGGAGGACAGCCCGCGGTGGTGGCGCGGGGGGGGGGGGGTCGTTGCGCGGCTCCCGCCTCTCGCTCCCCGGCAGGGGTCCGGGTGCCTCCAGGCGGCCTCCCTCAGCTCCCTAGAACCGCACCTCAGCCTGCTCCCCCTGACCCCCCTCCCCAGCCCCGAACCCCCGGCCCCGCGCGCCCATCCCTCCCTACCCGGAATCGAAAGTGGCCCGTCGGGGGCAGCCGCGCCATGGCGTCGGGCCGCCGTCAGCTAGCTGAGCGAGTCTGGCCTGCGGACGCCCGCACCCCCCGCCCCGCAGACTCGCGCCGCCCGGCTCGCCCCCTCGGGAGAGAGGCGCGGGCGGAGAGCAGCGGCGCGCGGCTTCCCGGGGCTTCAGAGACAACAATAAGAAAATGGCTACAAGTCGGTCGCCTCCCGCACCCTCGGAGCGGCCGGCCGCGGACAGGGCGGCGGGCGCGGCGCCACTCACCGGGTGGCGCGTCTGCGGGTACATCTTGCTCAGGTCGCGAATCATCCACGCCGCTTTAGTTGGCTGCGCCGGGCAGAGGCGCGCGGCTCATCCGCTTCGAGGGCCCCGCGGCGGCGTCCCGGGCCTGCGGGTCTCGCGTGACGCGGGCGGCAGGCAGGCGCAGCGGCTGGGCGCGGGCGGCCGGCTCCGCATTCCCCGCGGGCGTCACTGAAGGCGGCGGGCACCGTCCGTCCTGCGCCCGCCGAGCCCCGCGCCCGCCGAGCGCCGCCCGCCCGCTCGCTCGCTCGCGCCCCACTCCAAACTTTTTTTATTTGTCTTTTAATTGGCTGCTATTCCTCGGAATGAATGGTCGCTTCTTCCCTGAGAGCGAGCGCAAACTCCTTTGGTTCGGAAGAGGTCTCGCGGCGCTTGGGGGTTCTCTGGAGATTTTTCACTTCACAGCAACGATCTTTTAAAAGGCACCTTTTAGCTTCTTTTACCACATTTCATTTCCTTTTCTTCCTTCCTGTTTTTTTAGCCCCAAATTGAAGGGGATTATAAAAATAAAAGAGCGAAACGCTTGCGGCTTTTTAAAATTCTCTTTCAAACTCTGCGAACACCACCTCAAAATAATACACGAGTGTGTAAGAGGGGGAAGAAGGCAGCCAACAGCCGAACGCCCGCTCGGAACGGCTCTAACAACGCGCTCTGTGTAGGTGACTTCTTTGACCAAATTTAGCAGCAGCTAATCATTAACATTCTGATACATATTCACGACCATCCGCGGAGGGCCCGTGGAGCATCCCGGGAGATGTAGTCCTCGCGAGGCTACTGTGGCCGTGGATGCCGCCAGATTGACTACAGTCTCCGGCTCGCCCCGCGCGCGCTCCGCGGCGCTCTCCAGGCGCTCCGCCCTCCCGCGGCGCGAGGGCGCCGCACCAACCAATCGGAGGTGGCTGAACATTAATCGCCGTTCTGTGTTACTGCCCATCATTTCACCGCTGACAAATGGCAAGCCAGGAGGGCGGGGCCGGACAGGCTGGACCCACGTGGGGGCAGGGCGTGACGAGGAGTTCCGACCAATGAGTGCAAAGGATTGGTGCCGGCGGGGGCGGGGCGCAGCGGCCCGCCCGGGGCGGAGCCTCGCCCTGGCCGCCGTTCCCTAGCGCGAGCGTTCGAACCGCGGAAACATTTGTTCAGCTGTCAATCAAAGTAACGTGGGGTGGCGAGCCGCGGCTGCTGCTGTCGCTGATGCCCTGGCTGCATCTTTAGAAGCAGGTTTCGGCGGCGATGGCGGCGGCGGTGAGCCTGCAGGCCGGTCCGAAGACGCCCTCCGAGGCTCGTCTCCCGCCCGACGCAGAGCCCGGGCTAGGCGGCCGCGCCGGGGTGCGCACTAATTAGGGCCCGATGTCTCGGTAAAGAGACAAGCTCGGCCTTGTGCAACGCGCCGAAACCCCTGTTGAGACAAGAGAGGGAGGATCGCGCTGATCCCACTACGTGCGGTTCACATCCATTTTACGCGCTGCTGGAGTCGGCATAATTTTCCGCGTGAGCGCGGTCGCGGTCGGCCCGGTTTAGAGCCACAGCCGGGAGGCGTGCACTGGGCTGTTCCCGGGGCCTCCCGGCCGGCCAACCGACTCTAACGTTCCCTTTCTTGGGAGGCACAAGTCAAGTTCGTACCCGGTTAAAAGAGGGCCCAAGAGGGCCTGGGAAGGAGGGTCAGGGTCCGGGGGAGGCAGCTCGCGACAGTTTGGGGGCTTAAAGGGTATGCGGGAGGTAGCAAGCTGTTCTAAGAAACCTCTGACCTGTGGGCAATCAGAGTAATTCGGAAAAAGTCAAGCAGGATTATAGCCAAGGTCGCTGCGTTTAGGACATTTATTCCTGAGACCCACTCTGAGTACTGGCTAGTATGGTGCTGTTGCTTCAACAAAAGTGGGAAAACCGTTTTTCCTAATGATGACGCTTTCCTCAGAAAAGGAAATCAGTAGCTTAATGCCTGACTCTAGGCGTTCCTGTGGGGCTCCTGTGCACTGGCCACTGAGGACACCGGGGCAATAGCCTTCCTAAAAATCCAGAACTGTAGCTCATAGAATGCTTCCGTTCTGGAGATAATTTTCTTCATTTCCAAAATAAGACGACAAAGGACTTGCCTCTATAGGATAGAAAATGTGGCTAATTCCAATAAAGACGGAATTTTGACATGAGGAGATAAAAAAGGAAAAAAATCTCGATAATGATTGCATGTTGATTGGGATTACATTCTAAAATATCGGTTAAGCGAAATATGTTTCTATTTTGTCTGTTTTTTAACCTGGCTTCCAAGAAATTAAAAAAAAAACGTTTACATTTATTTAGTGGGGGAGGAATGAGAGAACGAGTGTGTGTGTGTGTGTGTGTGTGTGTGTGTGTGTGTGTGTGTTTACTCCTGGGCATCAAGCTTGCACGAGACAAGTGCATTTACCTGTTGAGCTACGTTGCTGACCCTAAATTATTTTCTGAAGTTCCCAGACATCCATTGTACAGCAATGTTCTGAGACATTCTCAGAAGGCTTGAGTGATACCACGTCTGCATTAGGACACTGAGTCTCAGAACACGAACAGCCACTGTTTTTCTGCGGCTGTTTATTTGCTTTCCCTGGAACTTTTTAGTAGCTTATTACCACGGTGTCTCTAAGGGAAGGTCCATGTTCTTTCTCTAGTTCAGTCAAATGGTAGGAAGTTCCGTGAGACCGGGGACTTGGTTAGGCAGGGCTGTGCTCCCAATGCCCTGGACGATGCCTGGCCTGTAGCTAGTGCTCAGTAAATGTCTGTTGATGGCCTTGGCAAATCCTAGCCCTGTGTTGTCAGTATAGAAGGCTGCCTTAGCCTTTGGCTTCAACTTCCTGAAATTCCATGCAGTCAGTTCCCAGGACAGGAAACCAGAAGTTTAATACCAGAGCCTGAACGGCTATTGAAAGGATCAGGGTGGAAAGAAACGCTGTTCATAGGAAATATCAACTTATAGTAGAGACCTTTCTCTTAACCTCTCTCAACAGTTTATGTCAACAGAAAAGTGGCTGGAGAAACGGAGTGTTTCTTGTTTTTTAAGGATACTTTCAAACGGCAGTCTGCCTCTGTGTGTTATATTTCGGCCTTGGGTCAGATCTGCATAGTTTATAACAACGTGTCTCCCAGCCTGGCCCCCAGCACGCTGGGTGGTACTTATGTTGCTTGTGTCTCCTACTCTGCCCTCCCTTTGCTTCTTTAAGTTTTTTCACAGTTGAGCCGATCTGGGAAATGATTTAAGGGCTTATTTTGTGGGAGATTCCAGAGATCTCATATGAGATGGCTTTGGTGGCATCATTGGTGTATAAAAGCCATGCCTATCAGGGTCCAGTCTCAAAATTGACAGATGCCAGGCCAAGAACACTTTTTACTAAGGTTAAAGGCTACAAATCATTTATTATTTCAGGACATACCAGTTGAGCATATTGTGAATGCCAAAATAAGAGAACTTAACAACAAACATGGCTATTACTGATTTATTGCCCTTCTTCTAACTTTTGCTCTCTTTGTCTGCTCAGTAAAAGTGAGTCTGGACCCTTTAACTGCTTTCCAGCTGAGAGAACAGGTTCATCAGTAGAGGGCCCTGGAGAGATTCCAAGACAAAGAAGTTTGCCTCCTAGTCCAGTGTGTGTGCAGGGCCATTCCCCAAAGAACAAGGAGCAGGAGGCAGCAACGGCCAGCAACTTCCCCCAATCTACAGTCAGATGGCTTTGGAGGAAGTGTCTGACTGAACACATACCTCCCTCAACAGATCCTCCTAACACTGCGCAAGATGCATTGCCAGCAGATGCTGATGTGTGGACTTCTGACAAGTCACAGAAAGCAGGTTTCAAGCTGGAATCATCTGCTTCTCAGCTGGTTACAAGAGTTTTATCCAGCAAGTTCCAGTTCTAAATCTGCGAGTCTCCCAGGGTCTTGCAGGAACAATTCCTTTTCCACAGACCATCAGGGATGGTGAGGGTGGTGGGAGGGGTTGTTCTGTCTCAGTACTCGGGGCAGTTGCTTCTCTTTATACCTGTTTTGTATGTCTTGGGCCCTACATTGCACATACCCACACACAAAATAGCTACAGTTTTAAAAATTCTGAAAGTATAACCAAAATTTAATCCAAAATCAAATGTATAATGAATCAAAGGTATTTCTGGCCCAGTGTTCCATTGCAGTACTGTAGCACTGATTCTGAACACACAGGTCCACGCTACCATGCTATGCGGCATCACTGAAAGATGACTGGAACACATTCGCTCGGAGTCTAGAGTACTGCAAGTTATGAATTTCAGTGTTTTTAGTGTACGTACAAAGTTTTCCGCTCTTATGGAAAAATAATTTAATTATAGAAAACAGACTTTTAATATTTTCCTACCACTCTTCTTCTGCATGTAAGTATCAAATTAGTATGTCTTTGGATAGGATTGTGTTAGAATGTTTGGTTTTTAAAATTGCTGTTTGAATTGCTGACTTGAGCTTCATGAAAAAAATCATTCAGTGAATTTTGGCTTGAGATTAGGACAGAATCTCCAACAATTTCCAAGCTGGCCCTAAACATTCTTCTGCCATTTGATTCTGTGTGCTTATGCGAAGTGCGGCTTTCTGAATTGATGGTCTCTTCATGGTATCTCTCAGCTCAGAAAATGTTGCTGTGTCCTGCAGCAGCGTCAGGTATTCAGGTGGGATTTCATTCTTGGTGTGAAAATAAAGAGGCACTTTCATCTCATTAGTATGCAAATGTCCTTTCAACTTTAATCATTAACTTATAAATACATCAATGAGTTATTTCAAAATAAATTTCTTTTTGATTTTATCGTCAGTAAATGTTTGATATGTATACCTACTCAAGGTACCATTTGACTCAAGGTTGCCCAGAATTTAGCAAAAAGGATTAGCAGGTAGAAAAAGTTAGAGAGACACTGATGAGAAGCTTTTCACTTTGACCAATCATTTTTCTCTGATTCCTTATTGTGGGTAATAATTTTTTTTTATACTGAACTTTACTTGTTCAAACCACTTTTTCTTTCTCTTCTGAGTGAAGCCAGGCCGACAGTAAACATCGAGAAGTGTCTTTTCTGTTGGAGCTCCCATTTCTCTGTTGGAGCCTGATGTGCAGGAGGGGACAAGAGTTGTGAAAAGAAATGAAGGGTGAGGGAACCCCAGTACCCGGGGAGATGGAACAGCACCAGATGGGAAGGCTTCCTGGAAGAGACAATGTTTAAACAGAGACCTGAATGTCAAGAACAAGTTGGCTGTTGCACGCACCATAAAGTGAATTCAGGTGAATGTAAAAGCTTCAATTTCAGAAAATGTTGGCAAAGGTGAGAGATTAAAAAAAAAAGTATGGGGCAGGTGGAGAAACTTCATATTAAGTCATGACTACATGAATGCAAGTCAATAAAGACCAATCTATTGTTTTTATCTGTGAGCAGTTGATTTGGGAGACATGTGTTGACCAATCTATTGTTTTTATCTGTGGGCAGTTGATTTGGGAGACCTGTGTTTCGTATATACACGCACAATCACGTGCACACGCACACATGCACTCACTCACCCGCCTGTTGCTGTGCCATGGTCTCACCCACTAATGGCTGGCAGCAAATTTTAATTTGAGTAGAGGCTGCATGCAATTCAAATATGCAAGATCTGCTTTGAATGTACAAGTGAAACAGTGACGATCACGGAGACCATTTCTAGATCAGCAAGATTTGTTCAGTGAGTGGTCACCACCACCCTTTCACCTATGGTAAAATGGAGATAAAAAAAAAAACGGTAGTCTAATTATGTG